GGACAGGAAAGCAAGCTCGTACTGGCGGTCCTCCAAGATGTCACTGCCGAGGGCAGGAGCACCCCCGACAGACGGAGGACAGGCGGGGTCAGAGACCGGAGTGGTGGCATAGTCAAGGCGGTGGGTAGAGGCGAAGTCAGCGACCGCAGCGACAAGGGCGTCAAGACTCGAAACTGGAACAGACGGGCCAGTAACGAGGGAGGCAAGGACCCGAGGAACAAGAGGACGAGCGGCACGCAGGTAGTCAGACAGAGGGGGGGGGAGCAACAACAAGGGAGGACGGAGGGGGCGACGGGAGAAGGGGAGGACGAGACGCGTGGGAACGAAGCAACATAGGGCGAGAGCGCGAGACATGGGAGACAAGTCGAGCACGGGAGGGGCGGCGAGACCAGACATGAGACGGAGGAGTAGGGTCAGGAGACAGAGGAGGGGACACAGGAGGGGAACGAGGGGGGAAACGGGCCGGAGACGAGTCCGGAGGAGGGAACACAGAGCCGTAGACAGGAGGAGGAGGAGGCACGGGCACAGGCGACACCGGGACCGCAAGCGGCCTGACGGCTACCTCTGGAACACTCCACGCCAGCACCCCCAGAAGGAACACCCCCAGAGCTCAGAACCCCTCGAGCACCGGTACCACCCCCAATCCCGCCGGGACAAGCCACGGCAGGAGTCCCAGGACTAGTACCCACCCCAACTCCAGAACCCCCAGAGGCAACAAATGGCTGCGGCGGCGGCTGCGACAGCGGGGGCGACGGCGGCTGCGGAGGTGGCGGAGGAGGAGACAACGGAGAAGGAACAGGCGGCGAGGACTGCGCCGCAGGACCACCAGAGTCAGCAGACTCCTCAACCGGGACAACCGACGTAAGGGGGGTGACGTGAGACACACTAGAGGGGGCAAGACGGGGAGGGGGAGGAGGAGGGGCGGCGACGACCGGGGAAGGGGGGACCAGGAACAGGGGGGGGGTAACCGGGGGACCGCGGTGGGGGAAGCGGCGGAAGAAGGAGACGGACTTGTCAAAGGTGACGTCGCGGGAGTGAAAGAACTGGTGAGACTGCGGGTGGTAGAAGTGCCAGTCAGACGCGTCAAGGGGGAAGCCAAGGAAGACACAGGGAAGGGTGCGGGCAGTGAGCTTGTCCGTGCTAGAGGCATGAACGTGAGCAAGGCAGCCCCAGACGTAGAACGCAGACGCGTCACCAGGTGACCCAGACCAAAGAAGGGTCAGCGAAACCTGAGGCTGCTGGGGGTGCGGCCACAGGTTAAGCTGGTGAGCGGCGTAGCGAACGGCGAACGGCCACAGAAAATGGGGTGCACCGGCATGGATCATGGAGGTGCGAGCCACCTCCATGACTAAACCGATGCGTCGCTCAGCAACCCCATTCTGCTGCGGGGAGTCGGGCAAGGTGAACGTCTGGGTGATGCCCTCCGCACGACAGAAACGACCAAGGACACCAGAGGTAAACTTGCCGCCACGGTCAGAGTGGAGGCGCAAGACAGGGAGACCGCGGTGGACACGCGCAGCGACAAGCCACGGGATAAGAACGGCATGCACGTCGGCCTTCCGCTCCAGGGGGAATACAGTGGTGTAGCGCGTGTAGTCGTCGACAAGCACTAGGAAGTAGCGCTCTCGACGCGGCCCATGGACAGGGGCGGGGCCCAAGACGTCCATGTGCAGAGTCTGTAGCGGTGCTGCGGTAGGGGGAAACGAGGAGGAGTGAGGAGCACGGCAGAGCCGGCCCTCGACGCAGGGCATGCAAGGTGGGGCTGGGGAGGAGGGAAAACTTGGGGCCTAGGACGAGACCGTGCTGTGATATGTGACGCAGCCGCGGTAGCGCAAAGTGACCTAGGCGGTGGTGCCAGAGAAGGGTCGGGTGGGTGAGAGACCGACAGGAGCAGGCAGCAGCAACCTGAGGAGACGCAGCCACCTGAGGGGGGGTCCCAGCCGGGGGGGTCACCGTGGCCAGTGTGAAAAGTCCGGACACCGGGTCCCGTGGGAACGTGGACAGGGGAGCACCAGTGGCGGCCTCGGTACAGACGACGTACTGCTCGTGTCCAGGGAATGTAGTGGTGACGCCAAGGTCCTGAAGGCAGCCGACACCAACTAGGTTCCTGGAGAACGAGGGGATATGTAGACCTGTGAGCGAGCCCGAAGGTACCGCCGGGCAGGGGAGAGTGGTGGAACTGCGGGCAACTATAGGGCCGGAAGAGGGGTCAGCAAGAGAGACTGCGGCAGGGACAGGGAGCGGTGTCAACGTGGTAGAGTCGCGGAAGAAGCACCGGGAAGCGCCAGAGTCGAGGGTGAAGGAGAGCGCGGCAGTGGCGGCCGGAGGCGAAGCTGCGACGGAAGCACCAAGGCTAAACAAAGCAGGGGATCCTACGTCTGACGCAGCAGGGGAGTCTAAGCAAGGCACGCCTACACTAGGCAACAAGGGGTAATAAGACAGAAGCACCCTAGAGTCATCAGCATACATCAGATGCAGAGCAGTAACAATGTCATCCATAGCGAGATAAAAAATCTGAACCCTACGACGAAGCAAGCTGTGCCTGTCTGGGAGCTCGGGCGACGGGCCGAAGCGCTGACGAAACAGGTCGTCCAAAAAAAACGGAAACAGCGGTCGGAGGTGTGGCCGATCTTACCGCAAACGAAGCCACGGAGAGGACCGGTGTGGAGCAGGTTTTGACAGTGCGCGGGACCCGAACCACCACGCGGCAGCCCACCACGCGCACCACCACCACGTCCAGGGCTACCACCAGCGCCAGGCCACCCGGGCGGGAGACCACTCGCCCGTCTCGGCTTCTGCTACGACTGCTACTGCTGCTGCGATTGCTGCGGCTGCTGCGGCTGACGGGGGTCCGGCGGCAATACCGGCGGTTGCTGAGACGGCTGCTCGGCTGCACCTGTCAGGGTCCCCTCGTCCACACCACTACCAGGGGACCCAGCTCCCGCACCACCTATACCTGCACCCCCACCCCCGCCGTCACGCCCCGCCTTGGGGCGGCGACCCTTCCCCGGACGGACCTGTGCTGCAGCAGCAGTCTCAGCCACAGCAGCTGAGCCGTCGGAGAAGGTGCACTGATCGGGGGCGCAACCCTGAAATATAGGGACCGGCACAGTATCGCTGGTCTGGGCAATAGAGCAGTGGCGGGCCTCTATAACAGACAGGGTGTTAACAAAGTCAGTAAGGGTGAGGTCTCCGGGGTGGACGCTAAGGAAGCGGTCGCGGGTAGTGGCAAGGCGGTCAGGAAGGCGGGTGGCTAGCAGGTAGAGAGCAGAGTAGAGGGGCGGCTGGTGAGCGCGAAGCTGTATGTCAGTGCAGGCAGCGCGCCAGGTCTCGTCTATAGTGCGCAGGTGGGCGGCCAGGTCAGCGACAGTGGGGAACGACGCAAGGTCAGGGAAGAGCATGGGGAGGATCAGGCGACCTACCGAGGCAGCAGACGGGGTGGAATAGCGCTGGACAACAACATCTAGGAAAGCCTGGGCAGTGGTGATAGACCTGAAGCGAGGTCGCTCGGACAGGGGGAGGGCATTACTAATAGCAAGCTGTGCGACAGCGTCACGGGACAGCCAGACAGAGCGAGCAAGGGCAGCGGCCGCAGCGGACGAGGGGTCAGGAGACAGTGCAGCGGGGGGGTCAGGGCAGGGGAGGGTACCGTCAAGATGGACAGACAGAGAGTGGCCATCCTGCCGCTGACCAGTAAGGTGGCGACGAAGGTCAGCAAGCCACGCATCAAACTCAATCGGCTGGCCCTCAGCGTCAAAGCGAAGCACCTCCGCCATCACTGACAATAGAGGGCAGTACAGTGCGGTGCAGTACGGCACGGACAGTGCAGTGCGGTGCAGGACGGTGCAGTGCGGTACAGTGCGGTGCAATGCGGTATAGTGCGGTGTAGTGCGGTTGAGTACGGTACCGGGAGGGGGGGTTCGCAGGGCGGTGCTGATCGGGAAGAACGGGCCGAACCCGAGGCGGCGGCGGGCTGGCGACGACGCGAATGCAGGAGCCGGCCGGCGGACGGCAGACGCGAGGGGCCAGCAAACGGCGGCAACGGGGGCCGGCGAGAAGCTGGCGCTACGGCGAGTAGGGCCGGCCACGACGGCGAGGAGACACGGCCGCGACGGCGGCCAGGGACAGCCGCGACGGCGGCTAGGGGCGGCCGCGACGGCAGGAGTGACCGTGAGGCGGCTGGAGACGGCAGCGACAGCGGCTAGGGGCGGCCACGACGGGCAGGGGGTCGGCTAGAGACGGGCACGACGGCCAGGGGGCCGGCTAGGGGCGGACGCGACGACCAGGGGGCCGGCTAGGGACGAGCGCGACGGCCAGGGGGCCGGCTAGGGACGGGCGCGACGGCCAGGGGGCCGGCTAGGGGCGGACGCGACGGCCAGGGGGCCGGCTAGGGGCGGACGCGACGGCCAGGGGGCCGTCTAGGGACGAGCGCGACGGCCAGGGGGCCGGCTAGGGGCGGACGCGACGGCCAGGGGGCCGGCTAGGGACGAGCGCGACGGCCAGGGGGCCTGGTAGGGACGAGCGCGACGGCCAGGGGGCCGGCTAGGGGCGGACGCGACGGCCAGGGGGCCGGCTAGGGACGAGCGTGACGGCCAGGGGGCTGGCTAGGGCCTAGGGGGCGGAAGCGTGGGCGGGCTAGGGGGGAACCTAACCTACTATGATACCATAACAGAAAGAATGAATGACTAGAGTGGTGAGATACAAGGGAATATAGTCTAGAGAGTTGTACCCACTAAGGCACAAACATATATAGTCTACAGTAACTGCATAAGCTATGTTTGACACTCCCTCCTTGTATGCCTCTCTTTTCCTTGTCTCTCACTCTTTTCTCTCCTTAACTTTCTCCTTACTAAACCTCACGCCATTCCATGGCTTCCTCCTACTCCTAGCTACCTTAGTTCCAGGACACCCTGAAGGGTCAGGGTGCGGGGCCCCGCAACCCTGTTTTCCTCGGTAACATTTTCGGAACACTTTTTGAATCAGGGTAATAAAATTTTGAAGTCTGATTTTTAAGACCAAATGAAAAAATGCCCTGAAAAATCAGGGCAATCAGCGCATTTCACCCGGCTAATTTGGGCCCGGCACACCACTCCACTCGGTTTCAGTTGAGAGCTGATGCACACACCCCACAGAATTTTACTAACGTCCAGACCAGCTAGTTCCCTGAATCTTGTATGTCCCTGATTACATACATACATTTTCCAATCCAATGTGCTCACTCCCAAGTGGTCACCATACCCACCCGGTCCCCGGTGACCAGTGGCAAGCCGCAGCTGCCCCACACAGTCGTCAAAATGGGCGCCACAGCTGCTGCAGAAGCAGACCCACCAGACCCAGTTGAACCCGAACTTGAACCCGAGCCTAAACCCGAACCTGAAACAGAGGCTTGCGGCTTGAGGTGCCGCTCCACAGCAGCAGTGCGTCGGCTCCACACGATCACCGACCCATCCATGCTGCCCGCTGCCACGTACTCATCTGTCGGGCTGACACACGCACGGCTCCAGTTGGACGCCACTCTGAACCCCTGCGGACCCCTCAGCACCTGCTTGGCAGCCAGCGACCGGAGGTCAAAGACGCGCAGGATGTTGTCCCGCCCGCACGTGACCAGGTCGTGAATGCTGGCTGCTGACGCACCGCCGCCACTGTGCCGCGCGGCCACAGCAGAGGAGGAGAGCGAGAGGGACGTGATGGCCATGGCGTGCGCAGCCACTTCGTTGGCGAGCTTCCCCGTGCGCACGTCCCACATGCGCAGATGCCCGTCCACGTGGCCGGAGCAGAGCGCGGAGACGCCCCCGGGGGCGAAGCGCAGCGTGTTGCAGTTGCTGTGGCACAGGAAGGTGACTGTGGCGAAGCCGCGCTCCAGGTCCCACAGCTTCATGGTGCGGTCGTACGCTGCACTGATGGCCCGCGCACTGCTGCTGCTGCTGCTACCGCCGCTGCTGCTGGTAATGCCTCCCCCCCTGTGCTCGTCCACGTCCACCGCCACCACCTTGTCCGTGTGGCCGGTGAGCGTGTGCCTTACCTGCCACGTGGCAGCATCCCATAGGTAGAGCTTGTGGTCTGTGGACGCTGCTAGAAGAGCAGAAAAGCTGTGGTGGGGTGCCGGGGGCGAATCTGCGCTGCTGCTGCTGCTGCGCCTCCTCCCTTCTGCTCCTCCTCCTCCCCCCCTCCCCAGCACAGCCAGATCCATAACCGCCCCCAGGCACCCCCTGACAGTATCGAGCAGCGCGCCCCGGTGCGCATCCCATACCTTCACCACCCCGTCCTCCCCCCCCGTCACGATGCGGTCGCCCGCCACGCTCATCGCGAGCGCGCAGCATGCGCCCTCGTGGCAGCGCTGCGAGCGCAGGGCGCGTGAGGGCGCGTGCGTGGAGATGAGGTGCGGGGAGACGCCCGGCTCGGCGAGCTGCAGAATGCCGTCGGGCTGCTGGGAGGCGAGGTGCTGGAGGGTGCGGGAGGACGCTCGTGTGCGCTCCACTAGGTCCTCGTACAGCTGATTCGCCTGGGGGTGGGTGCATCGCATGGCATGGCATGGGGTTTGTTTTTTAGGCGCCTCAGAAGAAGATGCTCGTGTGCGCTCCATGAGGTGCCTGTTCAGCTGATTCGCCTAGGGTTGCATGTATGTGGGGATGGTGGTGGGCATGTGGGGGGAAAGAGAGAGGGAGATAGGTGCGAAATGGTGGGATTGACTGACTGAGAGAGAAAGAGACGGCAAACGAAGCAGCAGCACCATGCAGACACGTTGCAGGCCCTCTGCAAACCCAGTGCGTTAGTATGACACACCCCCCCTCCACCCCCCCCCCCCCCCCCCCCCCCAAAACCCGAAACCCCTTTCCGTGCACGCACCTCGTTGAGTGTGTCAGCCTGATGCAGCTTGAGCGTGGTCCAGCGGTCCACCAGCATGCGGTTCTCGCGCTCCACGCCCGCCGCCCGCTCCTCCGCTGCGCGCACCTCTGCGCGGCACGCCGCTGCCTCCGCTGCTGCGAGCTCGATGGCCGCCTCCTTGTGCTGCACTGCCGCGCGCAGCTCACCCGCTGCCCCGCTGCACTCACCATGCCCATGCCCATGCCCAAGCCATGACATGCCATGCCATGCCATGCCACACAGCAGCATAGCGTTAGGCTGGCCCAGGGAAACGACTCGTTTTCACGAAGCCCAAGAAAGGATTCCAACACAGAAGAAGGCCACTCTCAATCTCACGTGCAAGCTCCTTCCAAGCTCGCAGCTCTATCCCCATCCCACATCGTGGTTACCCGTCCCTCGTCTCCAATCCCCAATTCCCAATCCTCTGCCCCCACCTCCTCCCTGCCCGAGCACCCATCCACACATCCCCAAATCCCTACCCCTCCAGCCAACCCCCTTCCCCTCCCCTCCCCTCCCCTCCCCCCTAACGCACAGCGCCGTGCAGAGCTGCTCTTCCAGCGCGCGGATGCGCTCCGCCTTGATGCCCGCGTCGTCCCTCAACGCCGCCACCGCCGCCACCGCCGCCACCAGCTCGCCACTCGCCTGCGCCGCCGTGCGCCCGCTCGCCGCCACGTCCGCGGACAGCTGCTCCACGCGCTGCTGCAGCGACGTCACCTGCTCGGACTGTCTTGTGTGTTGGGGGGGGTGATGTGGGTGTGGGTGTGGGTGTGGGTGTGGGTGTGGGTGTGGGTGTGGGTGTGGGTGTGGCCTGTAGGAGGGAAACAATGGGGGAGCGAACGCGGTTGTTTCAGGGAAGTGGCATGCATTGGTGGCACGGGATGAATTGAGTGGAGAGATTGAGACACCATGTTGACAGGGGCGGAATCTACGTCACGATGACGTCGGAGACGGTGCTTCTAACGCATACACTGGCGGTGGACTCGTTAACCGCCATGAGCTGCGCCAGCAGCGCCGCCTTCTCCTCCTGCAGGCTCGCCACGCGCACGCGTTCCGCGTCGTACTGCCGCTGCCACGTGGCGGCCTGCGACTGCAGGCGCGCGTGGCTGTGAACGAGGTCAGCGAACGGGTGCGACTGGCGAAGGTCGCGGGAGTAGAGCTGCTCGCACACACTCGCGATGGCTGACGCACGGTGGTGATGCTGGTGATGAGTGGTTGGTGAAGCAGTCTGACCATGGGAGGGAGAGGCCATGGCGGCAACAACCAACAACCTGAGGGAAAAGGGGAGAAGCACGGATGAGAGATGTGGGTGTTACCGTACATCGTGCCACAGCACGTTGCAGTACGCTACAGCACGTCACACAGCGGCGCGTTGCTGGCATAAAACGCTGAGCGAGGCTCTCGATCAGTACATGCATACTGGCTACGACGGTACTCGCTTCGGTGCGCAAACGTCTCCTTCAACGACGGTACTCGTTCACTTTCCTTCGAACCCACTTACGCTTTGCTAAGAAAACAAGTAGAGCTCACCCTAAGGCACTGCTTTGGGCGTGTAGAACCGAAGAGTATCGCCGACAGCAAGGGGTGCAGACTGAGAGAGTAGCTTCAGAGAGGAGGCGAGACAGCCCGCGAACGAAGAAGCTGACTCAACCACGCTATAGCCTCTAGAGGGCTCGTTGCCCTAGATAGGCTCGCCACCAGGGACGACGCGTCTGGAACTTAGGGCGTGTCGCAAGGTACAGATATCGCATGCTAGAACCAAGACTGGTGACTAGCGAGACGACTGGTGTGTGGCTTGGCGGGGTGGGGATTTGACATTTTGCTTCGCCAAAAGCCGATCCGAGAAGCTTTGCGTTTGGTAGGAATAACGGTACTGTAACATGCGAGTTTGAATAATGCTGGCACATTCGTACCCATGCTATTTACAATAGAATCTACGACAGATTTTACTCTAAAACCAGCTCCAACCATCGCTGCCTCTCCTACCGTTCGTCAGCACTAACATCTCCACGACACGGGACCAGCATGAGGAGACGCCAGACCCCCCTAAACACACATCCCCATCCGCTTCCCCCCCAACCTGCTGCCGCTGTGCCTGTGAAGCCACCCGGCCATCCACATGCACGTCGCATCTCCCTGCTATAAACAGAGACGCCACAGTCTCGGCAGTAGCCGCAGCAGCCAGCAAGCCCTGGCCCTCCTCCTCCCCTACAGGTATGTCACCATCGCCACTGCTGGCCCTTGGTGGTGGTGCCATGCAGGTCCAGCTGCGGGGCAATGAGCTAAGCCACTGCAGTAAGAAACGCAAAAAGGGACGGGGGGATGGCGAGAGAGAGGGAGGCAGATAGAAACGCAACAAGCGACTAACTCAGTTGGCAGGAAATGATATGGATCAAGGGATGAAAAGTAATGTTTTCAGAGGACTATCTCCCAGCCCAAGGGAAGCTTGTAAAGCGGGAAAGAGAACAAGGTGAAGCACAACGTCTACCCCCTCTCACCTGACATTCTCCTGGTCGGGACAGCCACAGAGTCTTCAAATTTGGAACGCCCAGCCTCTGCCGCTGCACCTCCTGCAGCCACCCTGCTGCACCACCCTCCCCAGCAGCCGCTGCTGCTGCTGCTGCTGCTGCTTCTGCTGCTGCTTCTGCTGCTGCTTCTGCTGCTGCTGCTGCTGCTTCTGCTGCTGCTGCTGCTGCAGAACCCTCAGACTCAACCCCCCCCTCGCTCACCCCCCCTGATCCCCCCCCCACGTACACGCTGGCAATGGGGCGCGGCAGGTAGGGCTCCGCTCCCCCAACCTCCTCCCGCGCCCAGAGGGAGGAGTCAAGGGACGAGGCGGGAGTTAGAGTGAAGGAGTGCATGGTGTGCAGCTCGTCCGGGGGAAGGCCCTCCAGCAGAGGCTGCTTGCGCTCGGTCAACCCGCGCCCTGCCCTGCCTGCTGCTGAAGGGGCTGGGGTTGTTGAATAGGAGGGTTCTGATTCTGCTGGAAGAAGTGCGTGTGCTGCAGAGACGGGATCTGCAGCAGCGTGTGGTGATTGTACTTCTGCTGCTAGGCTGGCAGGAATTGAGAGCTCCAGTGAGTCTCCCTGCTGCTGCTGCTGCTGCTGCTGCTGCGATGCATGCTTCTCTGCCACTGCAACACCCACACCCTCCTTCGTCATGGGCCAGGGCGACTCGTATTCCTCCGTCCATTCATCGTCGCCCCTGCCCCATCCCTCGTCCTCTCCTCTGGCAACAGCACCAGCAGCACCAGCACCTGCAGCAGCACCAGCAGCATCACCCACATCGGCAGCAGGAGCAGCAGCAGCAGCAGTGGGAAGGGAAGGCGGGAGGGAGAGGAGGGCGGAGTAGGAGGAGGCGAGCTGCAGGGAGACGTGGTCGCCCAGGGCGTGGTGGCGGGCGGTGTTGGCAAGATGGCAAGAGAGAAGGGACGGCCAGCGCAGCAGGAAGCGCAGCAGCTGCGACAGCAGCCAGCGATGCTGGGGGTGATGGGGGAGAGAGGGAGTAGGGAGGGAAAGGGGGGGGGGGGGGGCGAGCAGAAGGAAAACGGAGGATGCAAGAGATGGAATAGGGGGTGAGTGTGCCTTGCGAAGGAGTGCACTCCGAGAGGGCGTGGGAGAGAGGAACTGAGCCTTGTACGGATCGAAGGTAGAGGGTGGCGGGTAGAGGAGAACACAGGAGACTGGCAGCAGATCCAGATGGTTGGACCATTGATCCCTCCCCCACATGGATGATGATTGGCGAGAAAGCAGATGTCCAGAGTGAAAGCAGCATACCTTGATAGAGACATCAGCATTTGAGACATTTGCTAAGCCTTGTGCCCAGGGACGGTCCCAGCCTCTGGTGATGGCATTCAAAGGGAGAAGGAGAGGAGGGATTGCAGGAGGAGTACAAGCCGGTTAAACAAGGAGGGATGGGTAATGTTTGGTGAGAGTACGTGCGGAAGGGAGAAGATAAAGAAGTGGGAAAGAGGATGTGAGCAAGGAAGGAGTAGAAAGAAATGGGAGGAGGAGGAGGAGGAGGAGGAGGAGGAGGAGGAGGAGGAGGAGGAGGAGGAGGAGGATGAGGAGAGGAGGAAGAGGGGGAACGGACTTTGCCTTGGCCACTCGCTGTGCAAGGTGAGCCAGCACGAGCTTGCCTCTGCTGGTGCCAATCAGCCGTGGGAGCTGCTCCGATAACCACGACCCATTTCGCGCCCCTCCTCCTCCCACTCCTCCTCCCTCCCCTCCGCCTACCCCCTGTGCTGCCGCTTCTGCCCATCCCCCCCCCTGCTGCGTTGCTTCCACGGCTCCACCCCCTGGTGCTGCCACGGTTAGAAATTCAGGTGGTAACCACACCACTGGGTCGTCTGACAGCAGCTGCTGCTCCAAGGCGGCACGGACGGATGGACGGCTGGGATTGGCGGAGGCAGCGAGATGGAGGGCTGAAGATTGGCAGGCAGAGGATGTGAGTGGGAAGAAGAGGCAGTGGAAGGAAGTCTGAGGCCATACAGGACGGAGGGGGGAGGGGGGGAGGGGGAAGAGGGGGAGGGAGGGGAGGGGAAAGGGGGGGAAGAAGATATGATACGAGGAAGGAGGTGCAAGATTCAAACAAGGTGAGCGGGGAAAAGAGGAGAAAGTGTTTCAGATGGGAACTCAGGCAGGTTGAAGGGGGCGGAGCAACGCAAACCACCCTGCTTGTTGTCTTCTTCTCCTTCCCCCTATCGCTCACCTGCCTACCACCTTCACACCGCTCAGCATCACTGGTCACATCCCCCTCCCCCTTCCCCAGCACCGCACTGCTCTGGTCTACGGGCACCACAATCCTCCCTGTGGCCAGCCCCACTGCAAGAGCAGCTGCCGTCGCCACCACCCGCGATGCCACTTCCTCCTCCACTCGCCCTCCTGCCGCTCCTGCTCCTCCTGCTCCCGTTCCAGTGCCCTCGGGTCCTGTTGGCCCTGCTCCTTCTCTTTGTGCGCCGATTCTAGGCCAGGGTAGCAGCAGGAAACGAGGTGCGCGAGGGGGAGGAGAGGCGGAGGAGGGGGGTGCGGGAGGGAGGGAGCAGGCGGAGGGGGGGAACTGGTGCAGCCAGATGTCTCGCTGGGCTATGCGGGTGAACGGGAGGAGAGAGGAGTCAGGGCCCCGAATCTGCGGCAGCAGGATGGGGGGAGAGGGGGGAGGAATAGGGGAAGAGGAAGGTGGGGTTGGGGGATGTGGCAGGATGCGTGACCGCGAGGGAAGCGGAGCAGGCATACGTGTTGGGAGGGCGGATGATGGCAGCAAGGGGGTAGAGGGTGGCCTCATGGGCGGCAGGGAACAGCAGATGGGCCAGGGAGGTGGGGGCAGGGAGGTGGGGGCAGGGAGGTGGGGGCAGGGAGGTGGGGGCAGGGAGGTGGGGGCAGAGAGGTGGGGTTGTGTGCCTGCCATGAAAGCCCAAGAGAAGAGGGACCATCCCAGAGGGATCATTGAACCCGCTGCGGGTGGGCAAGGAGAGAACAAGCGGAAAGATGTGTGCAGGCATCATGAATTCCGTGCATATGGCCCTCACGCCATCTGCGCCTCTCACTCACTCACCCATGGCGGGCGTGGCGTGTGCTTCAGCATCGCTCCGATCGACTTGCCACTCATCACCACCTCCCGCCACCCTCCTCGCCTCCTCATCCTCCTCCTCCTCACACCCCCCCCTCCACCACCACTTCCCCCTTCCCCTCCGCCCTGCCCTGCCCCTTCCCCTCCCACCGAATCATGCAAGCGCCGCCCTCTCGTCCGCCTCTGCACTCCTCCTCCGCCCTCCCTCTCCCCACCCGTCTCTCCCTCCCCTCTTGGATTCGCCTCCCCCGGTTCCCGGTACCACACCCCCCCTAACCAGGACAGCCCCTTCCCCCCACCTCCCGACCCCTGCCCCCCGACTCCCCCCGCTCCCTCAGCTCCCCCAAATTCCCCTGTTCCTGCCGAATCCTGCATTTCCAGGCGGAGGCGCGCGGAAGTGCGGGCTATGCAGTCCTCAAGATGGGGCGGGGAGGGCGGGGGGAGGGACGGGGGGATGGGGAAGGCGGAGAAGAAAGAAGACGCTGCAGAAGGGTTGAGGGGATGGGGAGGGGAGGAGGAGAGGAGGGCGAAGGAGGTTGGGAGGTGGAGGAGTGGAGGAGGGGAGGAGGGTGAAGGGGAGAGGTGGTATTGCTCCGACCATAGCTGTATTGAAGGGATGGGATGGGATGGGATGGGATGGTATGGGGAAGGGTAGGGGAGAAGAAGAGAGAAGAGTGAGCAGAAAGAGAGATGGACGGGGGGAGTGAAGGAAGGGAGGGATGGAGGGAGGAGTGATCTTAAATCCTGCTCCAGATGAATCCGGCTGGCCCGATCCAGTCCAGATGATCAGGTGGTTACCACCCTGATTTAAAGTCGACTCAAAAGCAGGACCAATCCGATCCGATCCAATCCAGATGATCAGGTGGTTACCACCCTAATTGTCTAGCCTTACATCTAGAAGCGCCTGCTGAATCGCGTATCTCGCCTGCAGCTCCCTCCTGCTCCGCCGCCTCCCCTCACCGCTTTCAATCTCCTCGCCTCTCTCGCCACTGTCCCCCTCGCCAAAAGCACATTCGCGCTTGGAGCTATCCTCGAGATTTCTTCCGTGTCTTTCGCTGCTCCGTTCAGCATCCGTGACGTCACTGTCCCCCGCGTATGCTGCTGGCAGCGCCGTCAGAGCCGTTGCTGTTGCCGCCAGCACGGCTAGCAGGCACAACGCCGACGACAGTTGACGACGGCTGCGACGCGCAGCAGCGTGCGAGCGAGCCGCAATTCCGGTTCGCAGCGCCATGCAGGGCGACAGAGAATGCTTCAAGAATGCTGCTGAAGTCCTGGTTCCCATGCATCCGTATGTGAAATTTCGAGTGCGTTTTCTTGTGTTGAATGCTGCTGGCGGTGGGATAGTGTGGGTGGTGGTGAGCTGAGCCAGCGATCCACCTGGGAAGAGCTACAAACAACACCAGTCAACTGAGGAGCGAATGGCCTTGTTCAAATAGTTCACCCAAAATACCCTACTCACCATTCTAGGTTGCTGTTCAAACGCTCTGAAACGAGAAGCAAGCTGCTGCACCGCAATCAAGCGTCGCACCCCATCATGGGGCTCCTCGAGAGCTGCCAGTCGCGATTGGCCGCCGTGATGTCATTCATCAACGCCTGGAAGTTGGTTTGGTTCACCAGCATGCCCTGTGGGGTGGACTGGGAAAGGAGTCAGGAGATATTCTACGCGTTTATGAAAGGTTAGAACACGGCGAAACGTGTCATGCAAAGGTGCTACATGCACAATGACACATTCATCGCACGCCAGCTGGTACGCTGACACTGTTCCCGCAACGGTGTTCGTGTCGCAGCGTAAAACATCCCCTAATCACCCAAAAGCTCCCTGGCATCCTGATGTCGGTGACATCTGAGCGAACCATCCAACCAACCCAAACCAACTTGTACACAACTTGCAGCGAATTTCGAACTGGTCTCAAAGCAGACACAAACGATACAAAGCAGATTTATTCCGCAAACTCTCCACAGTAAGGCTCTCGCTTGTGTGATGCTGGCGGAACAGGTTCGTGAGCGCCGCGACGCTGCCTTGGAGGGGGACTCTCGCGCTGCTTTACGACTCTAGCAAAGGCGGTCTTGAGATGCTTCACTGATCGCCACGCCACGCCACGCCACCCTTCATCTGTTTTATTTTTCGCAGCACCCTACAACCCAGGAAGCAGCAATCTGCAAGCAGCAAGCAGCGCGTACCCGAAGCAGCGCGCACCCGAAAGCAGCGCGCGCGTCCCCTTTCTTCAGCTCACGCGCAATCCTCGTTTCGATCGATCGATCCAATAGCCGCCATCATGGTGTCATCGGGATCGATCTACGGAACGCGCCCAGCCGCCCACTCCCACTCCCACTCCCACTCTCATCCGCTCTCCCACTCCTCGCACATCCCTCCCCCTCACGCGCACGCTCCCCTGCGCCGATCGCGGCCCGCCGCCGAGGAGCGTCTGTTCGGGCCGCTTAAAGCGGAGCACGTGCTGTGGATCATCGGGATACTTCTCTTCTACTTCTACGTCTGGGGTAGATTATTCGGCGGCCACTCTCGCGCGCACTCGCACTCCCCCGCGCAGTCACAGGCGCAGGAAAAGGCGCACGGAAAGGCGCACGCGCATGCTCCGCCATCGCCCGGCGGATCGCCGGCCGTAGCGCATAATAAAGCCGCCGGGTCTTCCGCTAAGCACGGCGCGCGGAGCCACTCGCCGGGCTCCGCCGATTCGGCGCATGGCGGACTGGCGGGGGAGGCGGAGACAAGAGGGCGATCGGCGCTGGAGGCGGGGAAGCTGCCACGTGGGAAGAGCAGTGAGGGGTGAGTTTGTGAGTGGTGCGGATCGGTTGTTGAAGCCCTTCTTTGTCTCCGTCCCGTCTCGTTCCCGCCGCCACCATTGCTACTCGTTTCTCCTCAACGCCCATCTCATTGTGTTCCACCCCTTAATCAAACACCCCCTCCCCCCCCCCCCCCCCCCCCACCTTCCCTGAAACCCCCCCCCCCCTCCCCCTTCCCTGACCCCCCTCCCCCCTCCTATCCCCTTCACCCCTGTTTCCCTGACAACCATGTCTCCTTCCTACTTGGATTCTCCCTCACTCTCCCTCACTCCCCATCCACCCTTGTTCTGCGCAGCAAAGGCCCGCCCTTTGTGCACCAAACTGTGGGCACTCCGCCTGCAGGGGGCGCACAGGTCGCAGCAGTGGGGGGTGGCGGGGGGGCGGAGGGCGCCAGCGCCAAAACTGGCAGGGGGAGCGGGGGTGGGCGCAAGGAGGTGGCGGAGAAGCGGATAGGGGGAAAGGAGGGGGGGACTGGGGGCGTCTTGGGGGGGAAAGATGGGATGGCAGCCGCTGATGGTGGTACTGCTGCTGCTGCTGCTGCTGCTGCTGCTGCTGCAGGGGGAGAAAAAGGGAAGCAGATGTGGGAGGTTGGGGGAGGGGAAGAGGTAGGGAAGAGTAGTGTGAGTGGTGGTGATGGGTTGGGGATGGCGGGGAAGGGCGCGGGCAAGGAGGAGCAGCAGCAGCAGCAGCAGCAGGGGGAGGAGGAGGATGGGGAGTACGAGGTGCCGTACATTGTGCAGCGGTTCAGAGCAGGAGTGATCGACTGGCATGACTACGTGCCCCAACCCGCGCTGCCCCTGCAATCCGAGTACGCTGTTCCGCTCGTACCCAAGCAACCTGCCTAACACAGCGCCCCCCCACCCACCCACCCACCCACCCACCCATCCACGCACCCACCCTCACCTCTCTTTCTGGTTCTCCCTGGCATCTCTCCCTGCGAATCCCCTCTTTCCCTACTTGCTCTTTCTCCATCAACCCCTCTATCCAATGTCCCGCATCTCCCCCTTCCCCCCTTCCGCTCTCCTCCGCCACTCCGCCCCCCCACCCACATCCGCTGCCCCTTCCCCTCAGCAACCCCTGTACATGCTGGTGACGCAGTGCTGTTGGACACCTCCTATTTCGCCGATGCCTCAGATGCCTCAGCTGATATATGTTTTCCCTTCCCCCCCCTCTCCCTCCCCCTTCCCCCTCCCCCTTCCCCCTCTCCCCTCCCCCCCCCCCTCCCCCTTCCCCCTCCCCCTTCCCCCTCTCCCCCCCCTCCCCTCCCCCTCGCCCCCCCAGCGACTCGCTGTATGTGCAGGTGCGGGCAGCATACGGGCTGCACCTGCTGGCGCAGGCTGAGGCCAAAGTGGCGCGCTTCTTTGCTGGGGACGCCTTCCGCCACAAGAGGCATGGCCCGCTGCTCGACCACAGGTGCACTGCACACGAGGGTGGGGTGGGGTGGGTTGGGGTGGGGTGGGGTGGGGTGAGGGGGGTTTAGGCACTTAAGAACCACAGGCCTGACGCATGTGGTTACATACTTGACAAGAATGGGTTCGTTTTTTAGGTGCCTGAATAAATCACTGCTGGACCACAGGTGCACGTGAGGGGTGGGGATGTGGAGCGCTGCCATGTCCCTCCTCCCTCTCCTCCCTCTCCTACCTCTCCACCCTCCCAGCTTCGCACGCTGCTTATCAATCCATCCGACCTCGCTTCTCACCCCCTCCCTCCCCTATCCCTCTCCCCTTGTTTCTCCCCTCCCCCCCCCATCAGTGTGTGCGGAGTGCTGTCAGACCCGTGCGCCGTGCACTCGTCCCCTTCGGCCTGTCTGTGGGACGGCTTCTGTGCGTGGTGCCGCAGCACTGCCGTGTGCGTGGACAGGGCCACCCCCATGGCCGCTGCGTGCGCCCCTCACCTGGACCAGCGAGACGTGGCGCCGTACCAAGACCGCATCCTCAGGTGCTGCTGCTGCTCCCGCTCCCCTGGCATGCTTATGGTGGATGTGTGGGTAGATGAGGGGATGCCTGGAGGCTTGGGACAAGGGATGGGTAGGATGAGGGCAGACAACAGATGAGCGGCAGGGAGGGAAGGAGGGAGGGAGGGAGGGAGGGAGGGGTCATCAGACATTGCCACATGGGCACACTCCTCCCTCTTCCCTTTTCTAGTGACCTCATCGCCTCTCACGTATCTCAACCACGCCCAGTTTCACCAGCTCCCCGTGTTCGCCTCCTGTCTTTCCCTCCTATCCCCCGCACACATGTGCTACGCACATTCGTCCCTCCTCCTTCTTTCCCTCCTCATTATTGTGAGCAGGGATGCCGCCAAGTATGTGCGGGTGGCAGCAGGAGGGGAGATAGAGCACCATGTACCAGCAAAGCAAAAACCAGGGCCTGCCGCTGCTACCACTGCTGCTGTAACCGCTGCTGCTGCTGCCACTGCGGTGGACAGCAGTGGCAGGAGCAGCAATGGGAGCTCGGAGCCCCTCTGCAAGTTCATCATTCCCGGCCACTTCCAGGTCTCTGCTCCCTGCCCGCTGCACGCTTCTCGCTTTTCTTTGGCTTCTCCTTTCCCATCCCTGCTCCCTGCTCCCTGCTCCCTGCTCCCTGCTCCCTGCTCCCTGCTCCCTGCTCCCTGCTCCCTGCTCCCTGCTCCCTGCTCCCTGCTCCCTGCTCCCTGCTCCCTGCTCCCTGCTCCCTGCTCCCTGCTCCCTGCTCCCTGCGCCCTGCTATCCTTGTACGCTATCCGCCCGCCTGCCTGTGAATGTGCGTGCGTACACTTCCCCATCTCAACCTTAACAGACTTCGTTTTGTCGCCTTTCTAACTCTCCTCCCTCCCTCCTCCCACCTCGTTTCCTCGTCTCTTCGATTTCTGACACCTGGGAGGGACTGAGGAGTAGCACCAGCACTAGAGAAGCGACCAAGTCACTCTTTTTAAGCCGTCTCTAAACAGCATTTCCCCTTCCCTCCCCCATCACCCTGTTCTTTCCACTACTTCGTGTGTGTGCCCTGAATGTGCAGTTCCTGGCGCTGGACTATGACGAGATGTACTGGCACTGGCTGCTGGAGAACTTTGTACCGCTGCTCGCCGACATGCCATACGCCAGGCTCAGGCACGGCTGATATTCATTGTGGTGATGGTGATGGCGGTGATGGTGGTTGCTGTAGTGCTGTCTGCTGCTGGTTGATACGTCTGCAGAGACCTCTCTTTAGTCTCTCTATCGTCTCCGCATTCCCTTTTATTCCAATGCCTCTTCTTCCGTTCCTCGCTCTCCCGTCCACTTAATCCCCGGCACTCTGTCCCTCCCCACCCCTCCTCCGTGCCCCTCCGTGGTTCCTCTTGGCAGGGACATGCGCACGCACTTCATCCTCACTCGCAGCACGTCCACACGCCACCTGCCGTTCCTCGGCCTCCTCTCGCAGGCAAGCCCCACCCCACTCACTCCGTATCCCTCTCCTCAGGCCAGCTCATTCATCGAGCGCAGTGGGAGGGATCGTCTCTTGACGTCTTATGGTAACGCCTCACTCCATCACGCTGCAACATCTGTCCCCAGTTCATCACGCCTATCATGTCTATCACGCCTATCATGTCTCTCACGCCACTCCAGCACTCCTCTGCCTGCTGTCCTCCCATGGCTACCCTCCACCTTCCCCTCCCTCCCCCACTCTCACCCCAGTCGTGCGGGTGCTCGCTGTAGGACACATGCCTCGTGGAGGATCCTTGGACTGGTGTCCTGAACAAAGCCTTTCCTACCCCACATCTCCTCTCTCTCTCCCACCTCTCTCCCGCCCCCCTCTCTCTCTCTCCCCCCTCCCTCTCTCTCCCACCTCTCTCCCCCCCTCTCTCTCTCCCCCCCTCCCTCTCTCTCCCCCCCTCCCTCTCTCTCCCCCTCTCTCTCCCCCTCTCTCTCTCCCCTCTCTCTCCCCCCCCTCTCCCCACCCGCCAGTCGTGCTGGCGGTCATTGGAGGACATGGAGGAGGGCACGTGCCTGGTGGAGGAGACCAAGGAGGAGCACCTGCGCTTCAAGATGGAGCACCCCGCTGCCATGGCCACTGCTGCGCAGCTCATCGACCGTACTGCACCGCACTTCATCATTGACCGGCTCAACCTCTCGCACATACCGGCACCGTCTAAGCCACAGGCGCGTGGGGTGGGGTGACATGGTGACATGATGACATGGTGGCATGGGGACATGGAGACATGGTGACATGGGGACATGGTGACATGGTGACATGGGGACATGGTGACATGGTGACATGGTGACATGGGGAAATGGTGACATGGTGACATGGTGACATGGGGAAATGGTGACATGTGGAGATGGTGACATGGGGAGATGGGTGACATGGGGACATGGTGACATGGTGACATGGTGACATGGGGACATGGGGACATGGGGACATGGTGACATGGGGACATGGTGACATGGGGACATGGTGACATGGTGACATGGGGACATGGTGACATGGTGACATGGTGACATGGTGACATGGTGACATGGTGACATGGGGAAATGGTGACATGGTGACATGGTGACATGGGGAAATGGTGACATGGGGAGATGGTGACATGGGGAGATGGGTGACATGGGGACATGGTGACATGGTGACATGGTGACATCGGGAAATGGTGACATGGTGACGTGGTGACATGGGGAAATGGTGACATGGGGAGATGGTGACATGGGGAGATGGGTGACATGGGGACTTGGTGACATGGTGACATGGTGACATGGGGAGATGGTGACATGGTGACATCGTGACATCGTGACATCGTGACATGGTGACATCGTGACATGGTGACATGGGTGACATGGGGACATGGTGACATGGTGACATGGGGAACATGGGGACCATGGGGACATGGTGACATGGTGACATTTGGACATGGGGACATGGTGACATGGTGACATGGGGACATGGGGACATGGTGACATGGTGACATGGTGACATGGTGACATGATGACATGGTGACATGGTGATATCGGGAAATGGTGACATGGTAACATGGTGACATGGGGAAATGGTGACATGGGGAGATGGTGACATGGGGAGATGGGTGACATGGGGACATGGTGACATGGTGACATGGTGACATGGTGACATGGTGACATGGTGAGGTGGTGACATGGTGCCATGGGGAAATGGTGACATGGGGAGATGGTGACATGGGGAGATGGTGACATGGGGAGATGGGTGACATGGGGAGATGGTGACATGGGGAGATGGTGACATGGGGAGATGGTGACATGGGGAAATGGTGACATGGGGAGATGGTGACATGGGGAGATGGTGGCATGGGGAGACGGTGACATGGTCACATGGTGACTTGTGGAGACTGTGACATGGTGACATGGTGAGACGGAGACTTTCTCTCTGCCTGCGGGGACTCAATCCCCTTGTTGCTGTTTCTGGCGCCCGTGCCTTTATCGCCTCCCACCGCCGCCCTTCCCTCCTTATCGTCGTCCTCTCATGCCTTTTTCCACTTCTGTTTCTCCCGAACCTTCTCTCTCTCGCACTCGCATCATCTTCACACTCCACTGCTATCAATCAGCATTTCTCAATGGCTTATTTTCCTCTCGCGCTGCCTGTCAGTCACCCTGCTGTACAATGAGGTGGATGCATTAGTCAGCTCCTAGTGGGCGTCACTGCTATCTTCTCCTAAACGTGGAAGCCCTAGTACCAGCCACACTCATTCTCTTGTGCCACACGCCCTCCATCACACACCTTTTCCCATTCCCCTCGCCACTTCCCACCCCCCCCCAACCCCCCCTCGTCACCTTTCCAGGTTCTCCTGGTGGCGCGGCGTCGGCGGCGCCTGCTCCTGAACGAGGACGCGCTAGTAGCCGCCACACGGGCCATGGGCCTCCCCATCTCCGTCGCAGTGCTCGAAGACCTGCCGCTATACGAGCAGATCCGGGCCGTCCGTTCGTGCGCGATCCTCGTGGGTGTGCACGGATCCGGCCTCCTTAACTCCATGTTCCTGCACCCGGGCAGTGTGCTCGTGCAGATCGTGCCGTATAACGCCACTGGCGCCGATCGCTTCTACGAGCCGCAGGTTCGGCAGGCCGGAGGCTCGTACATGGAGGTCCGGGTGACGAACCGTAGCGACAGCGTTTTTCACTGGCACCTGGCGGAGGACCACGGGAGCAAGGTGGGGACGGCGGAGGAGAGAGAGCGGTTTCTGCAGCAAGGCCCGGACGTGCAGCGGGCGTCTGATGTGTTTTTCAGCTTCTGGGTGAATCAGGACCTTCATGTGCCTGTTGGGGAGTTCAGGAGAGTGATTGGCGAGTCTGCTGCGGAGTGGGAGCGGGGGCGGCGGCAGCAGCAGCAGCAGAAGGGAGAGAAGCAACAGAGGGAGGATTGGGCAGAGGAGGAGGAGGATGAAGGGTTCGGAGGAGGGGAGAGGCGTGTGGGTAGGGACAGTAGGGGTGGTGGTGGAGGAAGCAGCTAGTGGTGGCTTGCACATGGAGTTGATGGACAATACCATACGTCATGGAGTGCTTTAGTAATACCGGTACATTTCAATCGGTATTTCTGAGATTGGAATATTCACGTTCAGGCCTGGCGTTTAAAAAAAAACCCCCCTGAGCTGTCGACTAAAAAAAAAAATTTACCCTGAGGGTTCAGTTTTCAAAAAATGCCTACCCTGATTTGTAAGTGTTCAGAAATCTGGAACCCTGAAATCCCAGGGTTCACCGAATGCGTTCAGGGTGTCAACTTATACATATTATCTATGTAGAAGTTATAGGCTAGACTGAGGTATGCTTCTAGTGAGTACAACCAACTAGTATTTGTTCTAGGTTTCCACCTCTAGTAATCATTCGTTTCTACGTTAACATGGTATCACGCTTAGGTTAGGATCCCCCCGCCTACCGCTTCCGCCCGTCGCGCCTCCTAGGCCCCGTCGCGCCCCCTAGGTCCCGTCGCGCCCCCCCTGGGCCCCGTCGCGCTCGTTAGGCCCCGTCGCGCCCCCCCTGGGCCCCGTCGTGCCCGCTGGGCCCCGTCGCGCCTCCTAGGCCCCGTCGCGCTCCCCCTGGGCCCCGTCGCGCCCGCTGGGTCCCGTCGCGACCCCTAGGCCCTAACGCGCCCCCGCTGGGCCCCGTTGCGCCTCCTAGGCCCCGTCGCGCCCCCAATGGGCCCCGTCGAGCCCGCTGAGCCCCGTCGTGCCTCCTAGGCATCGTCGCGCCTCCTAAGCCCCGTCGCGTCCCCCCCCCTATGGGCCCCGTCGCGCCCGTTCGGCCCCGTCGCGCCCCTCCTAGGCCCTGTCGTGCCCGCTGGGCCCCGTCGCGCCTCCTAGGCCCCGTCGCGCCCCCTCTGGGCACCGTCGCGCCCGCTGGGCCCTGTCGCGCCTCCTAGGCCCCTTCGCGCCCGCTGGGCCCCTTCGCGCTTCCTAGGCCCCGTCGCGCCTGCTAGGCCCCGTCGCGCCCCCCCTGGGCCCCGTCGCGCCCGTTAGGCCCCGTCGCGGCCCCCCTGGGCCCCGTCGTGCCCGCTGGTCCCCGTCGCGCCTCCTCGGCCCCGTCGCGCCCCCCCTGGGCCCCGTCGTGCCCGCTGGGCCCCGTCGCGCCCCTTAGGCCTCGTCGCGCCCGCTGGCCCCTGTCGCGCCTGCTGTTAGCGCTCGCCTGCCTGGCCTCCTAGTGCCGCTCGGCCTCCTCCTAGTGCCGCCCGGCCCCTTCCTAGCGCCGCCCGGCCTCTCCTCAGCGCTGCCCGGCCCCTCCTCGTGCCCGACCGGCCCCAGCAGCACCAGCCTGGCCCCTCCCAGCACCAGCCCGGCCCCAGAGCACCTGCCCGCCTCCCCTGCTCGGCCTGCCGTGTCCTCTCGGGCCCTGTGTCTTCTGCTCGCCTGCGCTGGGACGCCTAGCTGCTGCCCTACAGGAGAGTGCTGCCGCCGTGTCCCCGCGCCGCTGTGCTCCTGTGCCGCTGAGGAGCTGTGCTGCTGTGCCGCTGTGTCGCTGAGGAGCTGTGCCGCTGCCCCTGCACGATGGCTGACTTTGTGCTCCGCCTGGACGCTGAGGGCCACGCGGTTGACTTCGCCGCCTGGCTCTCCGATCTCCGCCGCCAGCTTACAGGTCAGCGCCAGGATGGCCACTCTCTGGTTGTCCATGCTGATGGCTTGCTCCCCCGTCCCCCTGCACCTACTCCCCTCCCTGCTGACCCCTCCTCTGATGACCGTGAGGCTTTCTCTACTGCTGCGCTGGCCTGTGCGGTCTGGGACTCACGCGATGCAGTAGCTCAGGTTGCTATTAGTCACGCCCTCCCTGTGTCTGAGCGCTCGCGTTTTGCTACTGTTGAAACGGCCAAAGCTTATTTAGACGCCGTTATTGCTCGCTATTCCACCCCTGCCTCCGCTTCTGCTGGCCGCTTGCTCTTTCCGATGCTGTTCCCAGACCTGGCTGCCTTCCCTACTGTCGCAGACTTTGCCACTCATTTGCGTGCCCTAGAGACTCGCTATCGCACTGCCAGCACTGCTGCCCAGCTCACTGCGCTCCCCCCTCCTTTCTGCATGACGCTCTATTTTATCGCTATGCGCCTGCCAGACCGCCTCGCTAGTGCTCGCGACCACTTTCTTAGCCAGCACCCGGGTGACCTCACCCTGACCGCCTTTGTCGACACCCTCACTGAGATCGAGACTCGCCAGCGCACTATCGCTCAGTCGAGCGGTGCGCCGGCAGTCTCTATCTTTCACGGCTGTGCCCCATCCCAGTGCACGTTCACTGACGTTTCGGCTGCGGTCGCCACGGCGACCCCTCTTACCGAGACGGCTGCTGCTGTCCACCCGCAGCAGCGCTCGCGTCGCGGTGGCCGTGGCCGCCAGGGAGGTAGGGGTGGTGACGCAGGTGGTAGTGGTCGTGGTGGTGGTGACGGTAGTCCGCCTGAGGGGACTACCACCGGTGGGCAGGAGCAGCAGCCCCAGCAGCAGCAGGACCAGCCCCAGCCGCAGCCGCCGTCCCAGCAGCACCCGCCGCAGCCGTGGGCTCGTCTCCCGCCTGGTTGGCCCGGCACCTCCGGAGGCGGTGGCCGTGGTGGCGGCCCGCGCAGCTTGGCGTCTACCAGCGGCTCCAGTGCTGTGACCTGCCAGTACCAGCTTCAGACCGGGCCTCTCCGCGGCACTCTGTGCCGCCGCCCGCACCCGACCGCCCGCTGTTTCCGCCGCCTCGACGATCTTTTTCGTCGTCGCTTTGGCCCGGCCCCGGACCTCCCTGACTGGCACAGCCTGCTCCGCCAGGGCGTGCCGATCTTTGAGTTAGACATGGATCAGATAGGTGCTGCCTTGCATGCTTTGTATGCTGACGCTTCTAGTGTTGCTGGATCTTACTACCCTGTGTACTCTAGTTTAGGTGTTTCACCCTTGTGTAGCTTAGCTTCCCCTGCTGCGACAGGCGTAGGACTGCCTAGGTTGCCTAGTCTAGTCGCTGCACCGGCTCCGTCCCCGGCCTCCGCCACTGCGTCGCTGTCCTTCACTCTCGACTCTGGTGCTTCTGCCTGCTTCTTCCGCGACCGTTCCACGCTCACGCCGCTTGCTGCACCTGCTGTTGTCTCTCTCGCTGACCCCTCTGCGGGTCCGGTCGTCGCGCGCTGTTCTACGTCCCTTCCTTGTCCGGCAGTTCCCTCGGGCTCCCTTACTGGCCTCCACGTTCCCTCGTTCTCCAGGAACCTGGTTGGTGTCGGCTGTCTCCAGGACCTCGGCGTCACCACCACGTTCCCCGGGCACGAGCGGTTCGCTGTCTGTTCTGAGGCTGTCTCAGGTTCCCCCCTTGCGACGTTCCCCCGGGACCCGGTGTCCGGTCTGTTTACCCTACACACCGCTTCCCCCCCGGTTGGTGCGTCCTCCCAGGTCGCTGCAGCTTGCTCGTGTCGGTCCCTCACTCACCCCTCCCTTCTCTGGCACCACCGCTTAGGTCACCCTGCTCTCCCGCGTCTGCGTCACATGTCCCAGCACGGTCTTGTCTTAGGTCTCCCCGCGTCGCTCCCTGCCCTTCCTCCCTCGACTGCGCCACCGTGCACGCCTTGCGTCGAGGGTCGGCTCCGCCGTGCTCCTCACTCCTCCTCGCTGCGTCCTGCTACTGCCCCCTTCAGACCCTGCACTTGGACGTTTGGGGCCCTGCCCCCGTCCCCGGACCGCGCGGTGAGCGTTACTTCCTTGTGCTCGTCGACGACTACACGCGCTACACCACGGTGTTTCCCCTGGAGCGGAAGGCCGACGTGCCCGACGTTCTTCTCCCGTGGGTTGTGGCTGCGCGTCTCCACCGCGGTCTCCCCGTGTTGTGTCTCCACTCCGACCGTGGCGGCGAGTTCGCCTCTGGTCGGCTTGGACAGTTCTGTCGTGCGGAGGGCATCACCCAGTCGTACACGTTGCCGGACTCGCCACAGCAGAATGGGGTTGCTAAGCGCCGCATCGGCTTGGTCATGGAGGTCGCCCGTACCTCCATGATCCATGCCGATGCCCCCCATTTTCTGTGGCCGTTCGCTGTTCGCTACGCGGCTCACCAGCTGAACCTGTGGCCACGCTCCCAGCGGCCGCAGGTTTCGCCGACCCTCCTTTGGACCGGGTCCCCCGGTGACGCGTCTGCGTTCCACGTCTGGGGCTGCCTTGCTCACGTTCGTGCCTCTGGCACGGACAAGCTCACTGCCCGCACTGTCCCCTGTGTCTTCCTCGGTTTCCCCCTGGACTCGTCTGACTGGCTTTTCTACCACCCGCCGTCTCACCGCTTCCTCCACTCTCGTGACGTCACCTTTGACGAGTCCGTCTCCTTCTACCGCCGGTTCCCTCACCGAGGTCTCCCAGTTGCCCCCCCCCTTTTCCTTGCTCCCTCTCCCCCGGTAGCCCCTGCCCCTCTCCCGCCTCGTCCTGCCCCGTCTGGTGTCTCCCACGTCACTCCCCTCCCGTCGGTTGTCCCCGTTGAGGAGTCTGCTGACTCTGGTGGTACCCCCGGTCCGTCCTTGCCGCGTCCCCCTTCCCCGGTGCCTCCGCCCCCACTGTCGCAGTCGCCGACCCCGCTGCCGCCGCCGTCGCCGTCGCCGCCGCAGCCGTCGCCGCTGTCGTCGCCGCTGTCGCCGCCGCCGCAGCCGTTGCCGCCACTGCCGCCGCTGCTCTCGGCCCCTGGGGGTGCTGGTGTGGAGGAGGGTGTTCGTCCTGCGGCTTCTGGGGGTGCCGCTGGTGTTGGAGGGGGTTCTCGCTCTGGGGGTGTTGGTTCTGGGGGTGCTGCTGTTGAGTGTTCTGCCGACGGTCGTTCTGCCTCTGCTGGTCCGAGAGTTCCGGCCCAGCCGTCGTCGCCGCCGCAGCAGCCGTCGCCGCCGGTTTCCGCTCTCCGCCTGCTCGGCCTTCCCTCCCCGGACCGCGCGCCGGTGTCTCCCCCACCGCCTCCTGACCTTCCTGTCTACGGTCCTGTGTTCCCGCCGCCAGACTCGTCTCCGGCCCGTCTTCCTCCTCGTTCCCCTCCTGTGTCTCCTCCGCTGTCCCCTGACCCTACCCCTCCGTCTCACGTTTGGGCTCGCCGTCCCTCCCGTGCTCGTCCCGTCTCTCCTGTCCTGCCCACCCACCCTATGTTGCTCCGTTCCCACTCGTCTCGTCCTCCCCTCCTCCCGTCCCCTCCTCCCTCGTCCCTTGCTGTTGCACCTCCTCCGTTCTCTGACTACCTCCGTGCTGCTCGTCCCCTTGTCCCTCGGGTCCTTGCCTCTCTTGTTACCGACCCTGCTGTTCCTGTCTCGCGCCTTGACGCGCTTGTCGCTGCTGTCGCTGACTTCGCCTCTACCCGCCGCCTTGACTACGCTACCGCTCTGGTCTCTGACCCTGCCCGTCCTCTGTCCGTCGGGGGTGCTCCTGCCCTTGGCAGTGACGTCCTAGAGGACAGGCAGTACGAGCTGGCTTTCCTTTCCGAGGCTGCTCCCCATCTCTGCTCCATGCTGTTAGTCCCTGAGGGTGACCCAGACGCCTTCGACATCCCGACCCCTCGCACCTACGCTGAGGCCACCTCGGGACCTTGGGCCTCTCAGTGGATAGCTGCCATGGAGCAGGAGATGGCATCTTGGAGATCCACCGGAACTTACGTCGACGCAGTTCCCCCGCCTGGGGTGAACGTAGTCGATGGTCGGTGGCTCTTCAAGGTGAAGCGCCCCCCTGGAGAGCCGCCTGTCTTCAAGGCGCGCTACGTGGCCAGAGGTTTCAGTCAGCGCGAGGGGGTTGACTTCTTCCAGACCTTCGCCCCGACCCCGAAGATGACCACTCTTCGGGCGCTGCTACACGTAGCAGCACAGCGTGACTACGAGCTTCACTCCCTCGACTTCTCTACTGCCTTTCTTCAGGGCAGCCTACACGAGCAGGTCTACCTGCGCCGACCACAGGGCTTCACTGGTACCTTCCCTCCTGGGACCCAGTGGCTTCTCAGGCGCCCGGTCTACGGCCTGCGTCAGGCTCCCCGCGAGTGGCACGACACGCTACGTGCCACGTTAGCAGACCTGCAGTTCTTTCCGTCCTCTGCTGACCCTTCACTGTTTGTGCGTTCCGGCCAGACTCCGTTCTACATCCTTGTCTACGTAGACGACCTGGTCTTCGCTACTCCTGACAGGGACGCACTGGCCTCTGTGAAGGCTGAGCTGCTGAAGAGACACACCTGCACTGACCTTGGAGAGCTGCGTCGCTATCTTGGCCTGCAGATCTCTAGGGACAGAGCAGCACGCACCATCACTCTGACCCAGTCACACTTGGTGCGTCAGGTCCTTCAGAGGTTCGGTCTTCAGTTCTCCTCTGCACAGCCCACACCTCTACCCGTAGACCATGGGCTCTCTGCTCCCGTTCTTGAGGAGCCAGTAGAGCCCAGTGGCCCCTACGCAGAGCTGGTGGGTTGCCTCATGTACCTGATGACTTGCACTCGCCCAGATCTCGCATACCCTCTCAGCATCCTGGCTCGCTTTGTGGCTACAGGCAGACACCGACCTCAGCACTGGTCTGCCGCTAAGAGGGTTTTGCGTTATCTTGCTAGTACATCAGGCATGGGGTTAGTGCTAGGAGGACGCAGGCCAGTGGTCCTTACTGGGCACACAGACGCTTCTTGGGCAGACGACGCTGAGACGCTCAGGTCGTCGCAGGGCTACTGTTTCAGCCTTGGTTCGGGTGCTATCTCTTGGAGATCCACTCGCTCGTCGTCTGTGGCTCAGTCTAGCTGTGAGGCTGAGATCTACGCTGGTGCCATGGCGGCACAGGAGCTCCGCTGGCTGACCTTCTTGCTCACTGACTTAGGTGAGCGGCCTAGCTCTGCCCCGGTCCTGTACGCTGACAACAGGGCCATGATACTCCTGTGTCAGGAGCCTCGGCTTGAGGGCAGAGCGAAGCATATCCAGCTGCGGTACTTCCTCCTGCGCGAGCTACAGCAGCGCTGCCAGGCCCGCGTAGTTCACTTGGCCTCAGGTGCCAACACAGCTGATATCTTTACTAAGGCGCTTGCGCCTAAAGATCATCAGCGGCACTGTGTACAGCTTGGTCTTGTTCCTGTAGCTGCTCCCCTGTTAGGATCCTGATTGTGTACTCTCTATTATATATGCTTGTCAGACTGGCCTTGTGGCCTTACCTCCAGTGGCTGGACTAGTAGTGCCACCCTGGCTTGCTTCAGTTTTGGTTGTATTCTTGCTGACTGGTCTCCAGACCCCTGCCTCAGTGGTTGGACTAGTAGTGCCGCCCTGAGCTGTTTGCTTCTTGTTTAGTTTCACCCCTTGTCTAGCCTAGGGGGTGTGTCAACTTATACATATTATCTATGTAGAAGTTATAGGCTAGACTGAGGTATGCTTCTAGTGAGTACAACCAACTAGTATTTGTTCTAGGTTTCCACCTCTAGTAATCATTCGTTTCTACGTTAACACAGGGTTGCCTTCAACACGAGGGGGGAATAAAAAATGGGGGGGGAAACGGGAGGGAATCAAACCGAGGGGAGGGGGAGAGCGAAACGGAGGGGAAGGGGGAGTATGGAAACATAGGAGAAGGGAGGAACCGAAACGGGGAGGGAAAAGGGGGGGGGGGTGGGGGGGGGGGAGCGAAATACAGAGGGAAGGGGGGAAGCGAAATGGAGGGAGAGGGGGGGATCGAGGCGAATGGGGCAGTGGCAGAAACCTCTCGCGCTTGCAGCGCTATGGGCGAATTGAGTACGTTAATCATACGCGATCATATAACGGCTGAAAATTGTCGAAACGTTCGCGATTGATCGTGGCCGTCGACGTTTGATGGACTTTCAGTTGACAACACGGGCAATAACAAAAGTGATTTTTTTGTGTGCTATCACTGCCTATCAAGACTTAGCTAATTTTTGTGGGTTGTTAGTTAGGTGTGCCCCCGCCCAAAATCGCCGCCCTCCCCAATTCCCTCCCCAAAATCTCGCCCCACACCTCTCAAAGTCCGGTACATTCGAGAACTGCCTTGCTGGAAGCCGGGGTTATGTTTGGCTCGGCTCTGGTTTTACATGGGTTTTTTCAGATGGGCCCAAATCGTCTGAGCTAGCGAAAAAACTAGCTCAGGTCGCACAAATCTGAGCCGTTAGTGGCTGACAAACGATGAACCGCTGAGAAACGTCGAAACGATCGCGTTCGATCGTGACCGTCAAAATTTGGTGGATTTTTTTTTGGGAACTGGGGGCCTGGGGGAAATTCCGAAATGAACCAATGCTGCTAGAAAACATCAGTTTGGCTAAACTGAGCGGGGAGGCGAGACGAAGGGGGCACGAGGATCAAAATGGAGGTGAGTGGGGGATTGACATCGAGGGGGATGTCTGCGAGAGTGTGGGAGGGGGAATATCTGTCTGTACAACAGGACTTTGACAATTTTTTGTTGAGGAGAGCGCTACTCTGGCTACTAGGACTTAGCCGATTATTTGTGGGTTGTTGCGGGTGTAGGGGGAGGGGGAATGTCTACCATAAGACTTAGCCGATATTTGTCAATTTTTGCGGGGTGTGTCGGGGGAATGTCTGTATAATTAGGACTTAGCCAATTTTTGTAGGTTGCTGTGTGTGTGGGGGTAATGGTTCTAGAGATTGGGGACATCGCCGAAATTTCAGGTCTGTGAGGCACGTGGAATCGCATTCAGGGTTCGTACGCGTTGCTCCCTGAAAACTCAGTATTGGCATAACGCAATCCCTGAAATCCCAAGTGTTTAGAAACTTACAACCCTGAAGGGGCTAGGGTTAAAAAAAGTCCAACCCTAAAAATTAAGGGCTGGCGAAAAAAATACCCTGTGAAATCAGGGAATCAGGGTAAAATACCTTGATAACGACAGCCCTGTTCACGTTCAACACGTGCTCCTCTTCTCCAGTCGCTTTTTGTGGTGTTCACGAAAGGCCCGGAACACCATTGTCATTGTGCTAATGGCAAGTAACATTGTGTAACAGGGCAAGCAGTTTTATAAAAATGCATTTTTATTTCCAATCTGGATATGTAATTCCATTTCACGATTCATTTAGTAGTATTAATATTTCCATGTGTACATTCAAAAGGTTTTTAGTTTTTTACAGTTCAACGTTACTACATTCTATTGCGAGGTGTCAAAAGCGTTATGTATTCTATAGGGGAGCGTGACTACAGAATGTTGTCCTAGGTATGTAAGGCCTAGCTTATATAGTGTGAGTTGACCAGGGTTGAACCTCTAGAATTACACCAGTCAAGGGCTCGAGAGAGTCCTGAGGGCGAACGGGTGGAATTGGGTTCGGGGCGCCTCGGTATTAGGTTCGGGGCCGAATAGATCGGTGGACTTGGTTTGACGCGAGACTTCAAGGCCGAGGCTGCTGACGCGCACTGTTTGCGGTACTCGCTGTGGCGAAACCCAGTAAGGAATCCAGAATTCCTTACAAAAAAGCCACAAGGCACATGGCATGGCACACGTCAGTTGCCTCGTCAAGCGCGGCAAGCCCCCATCTTCCCTTTCTCCGTCTTTCCGCTCTGCTCTTCATCCTCTTCCTCGTCTGCCTCTTCCTCCTCCCGCCCGACACGGTTGCTCAAGTTCAACCCACCACCTCACTGCTCCCGTCTCCTAACTATCAGCACTTCAAACAAGTATATAAGATATGGAGCTTTCTGTGGCCTCCGTCTTCTTAGTCGACTCAATCATAATCCCAGCGATTCCGTACTACCGTCTTTTGCGAAATGTCGTTTCTGCAGATCCCGCTCTTCCCCGCTCTCTGGGCCCCTTCCCCGTCGCCGATCGCGGAGGTCCTATCCAACGATCACCTTCTCTCGCTCGTTCTGCGATCGCTCACGCGCGACTCCTTCCGCTACGCGCTCGTCTGCAAGCGATGGTACGCCGCGGCGCGCCTCTCCCTCGCGCACCTCACTATCAAATTCGAGATCCGATCCTCCGTTCTCTTAGATACGATTCGCCGCTTTTCCTCGCTCACGCACGTCACGCTGGGCCAATACAAAGTCCAGGACGCGCAGGGCGATGCGCTCTTCCAGTGCCTGGGCGCCACGTGTCCGCATTTAACGCACTTGACCGTGAACTACCAGTTGCACATGCGCGTCACTTCCACCGGCCTCTCGTCGCTCTTCCGCGGCTGTCCCAGGCTCCGCGATCTCCGCTTGCTCACCCTCAACTCCCTCCCGCACCTCCCGTCCTCCATCACTCTCCTCACCGACCTTCGAACCCTCCACCTCTGCCCCTGCCCCTGCCGCTACCCCTGCTGCCGCTACGGAGTCGATCGATTTGAGCATCTCGTTTCGCCTCCCGAAAGCCTCGGCGCGCTTCAGAAGCTACAGGAGATCCGTGTTATAACAGGATCGCCGTTCCAAGGCCTCTCGGATTGCATCAGCAGCCTCACTAACCTCCGGAGCCTGACCTTTCTCAACCCCTCCCTCACTCAACTACCTGAGGCCGTGGGCTACCTACCGCTGTTGCAAACATTAGAAGTCGAAATGGAGAATCTAAGGCATATTCCGGATTCCTTCCAGCAGCTGACCAGCCTTCAGTTCTTATCGCTGCGATGCAGGTATTTGAAGCGCCTGCCAGAGCATGTGGTAGGGGCGATGACACAGTTAAGAACGCTGTCTCTCTGCTGCACGTCTCTCCAAGGCCTGCCAGGCAGCTTGTGCTCCCTCCCCCTCTCCTCCCTCTCCATCCTCTCCTGTCATGTAGCCACCCCCTCCATCCTCGCGTCCCTCCCTGAGGATTTCGGAGCCCTGGAAAAGCTTGAAACCCTAAGGCTGGAGCATCTTCCCAACCTTAAGTGTCTGCCCGAAAGCGTGGGTGATTTGCCCAGATTGCGATCGTTGGAGCTTGTCATGCTGGGTCTGCTGCAACTGCCCAAAAAACTGTGCACAGGCAGGGTGAGACATTGCCTGAAGAGGCTTTACCTGTACTCTTGCAATGGACTGAGGTCGCTGCCTCCCCTGCTGGGCATGCTGACACGCCTGGACGAGCTCGAAATCTCCGCTTGCAGCCGCCTCGAGTCACTGGATCCCCTGGCTGCTCCGCCCCCTCTTGTAGGCTTGACGTGCCTACCTGCCGATATTGTTCCTGCCACTGCTCCTGCCACTGTCGCTCCTATTGCCAGTGCTGCTGCCCCCACCTGGCCTTGCACCGAGCCCAGCACGTCCAGCAAGTTCCAGCACAAGGCACAGCAGCCACAGCCACAGTGCAGCAGCGTGCAGCACAAGGCACAGCAGCCTTGGGGCCTGGCGTCTCTCACCACCCTCAAGCTCAGTTATTGCCCTCAGATCTCCTCTCTCCCAGAGGCCATCTCCTCCCTCACCGCCCTCCGCTCCCTCACCCTTGACCGCATGAGCGGCCTCACCAGCCTGCCCGAATCTCTCGGGCAATTGAAAAGCCTTCAGCGCTTGGAGCTTGAATTCATGGAAAACTTATCTGGGCTGCCCAAGTCACTCGAGCAGCTGAGAAGCCTAGAATGCCAGGTGATCAATGGGGGCGAGGTGACATTCCCGTGGTGGGTCGAGTGGCTGCTGATTGGAGTAGTGAAATTGCTGTTCCACGCTGATGGAGGCTAGGCTATACAAGACAGACAACCTCTCTTTTCTCTTGTTGGCATCCTCATTCTTTGCTTGACGCGGCTTCGAAGAGAGGTAATAACAGTGGCCAGACTGGTAGTGGACTGTGCTACCATTCCCCTCTGCCTGCTACCAGTATTAATAAGCTGTGTGCAACTGAGCTTGCTGTATCATACCGTAGAGTTAACTGCTTGTACAAGCTTCCGCAGATTCGTGTTTTCATTCAACTTGCAGCTGAGAGTGTTTGGTGGGCGATTGGCTGGCCCAAAAATTGTGCTCTGTTTAGCTTGGCGCTTGATCCCCTTCCCTGTCCGAGCTGCTCTGAGCCTACAATAATTTAGGATGAGTATGTCCAGGGCCTCAGAGATTGCAGGCTTTTTACCCTGATTCAGGGTAAAATCAGGGTTTTTTTCGAGGGTGACCCTGATGAGAGGGTTTTTTTATTAACACGGGCCTGAAATTTCAGCGATTTTTTAGAAGTGAACTCTGATCGATCAGCATGACTAGTGAAGTGAGGCCTGTTTTTCCAGCGTCGTATTGGGGACCAACCCTGTGTTAAAATATATATTTAAGATTGTGAAAGCTTGCTTGGGTCATCTTGGCAAAGGCAGCGTGCTTCATTTCATATGGGCAGCGTGCTTCATTTCATATGGGATTGCATACATGGTTCTCGTCCAATAGACTACACCTACAAATAGGGTGGGTGGGTGGGGAAAACGAAACTGGAACTAGAAATGAAGAACGTGGGTGAGGTCGAATGGCCTCACGTCCCTCTTTTGTAGGCAAAAGAGGGTGAGTAGCGCTTCGACGCTGTCCTTGCTGCGTTGGCCCTCGCTGCACTTTCACAATACACATTTTTATAAAGCGTTACACGCTTTCAAAAAATTACATATTGTGAAAGCTTGCTTGGGTCATCTTGGCAAAGGCAGCGTGCTTCATTTCATATGGGTCTTCTGAGGCATGTGTAGTAGGGGCTCGCGATGTCGCTCGATAGACAACTGGTGATGACTGGGCGATGGAGCGGCAGAAGCGTCTTGGATGCGCGTGGACGCCGCAAGGAGCTGGTCGTGCGCAATGGTGACGTAGAGATCTTTGGCCGTATCGCTGCGCCAGCGACCGAGTCGTTTGAAGAGCCGGTCGGGGATCCCTAAGTTAGCTGCCGCAGTTGCGGCGCCCTTGCGGAAAGAGTGGGTGCCGAAGTGTCTGTTGTCGAGCCCAGTCTTGGCGAAGGCTTCGAGGCACCAGTTTCGGATGGTTGTGTAAGACGGAGTGCTGTCTTGAGGGGTTGCCCTGCCGCTGGTGCCAAAGACACGGATCAATGGTCCATGCGGGGTGGTGGGGTGTCCCGCAAGTTGCGGAAACCGTTGGGTGCAACGGACTGGGCAGTAAGGTCCGGCAGTGGGAGCAACTGGGATCCATGAGCCCTTGCCGTCCTGATCCGTCTTGGAGTGCGGGATTAGGATCCACATAGACTCCTCGTCAAACTGGATGTCATTCCACTGGATGGAGACGAGGTCGGAGTAGCGGAGGAATGCCGCGAACATGAGGAGTGGGATCAGTCCTTTCTGATATTCTGCCGGGCTGCTTGACTCAAGGAAGGGGTGTGCCATGTCGTGCACCTGGTGGAGCGACAAGGGTTCCTTCATCCTTGTGGTGCACGAGCCGTGTCGTTTGGAGAATTCACGAACTTGTGAAGTGAAGGGCCCGCTGGTGGGAGAGGGTTCTCCGGTCATCCGGGGTGCAAATGCGACGGCGGAGCACGTAAGGGATATGGCGGATATTGTGGCCTGATTGTTGAGGGCGTAGACAAGGTAGAGCGCTAGAGTGGTGTCTGTGGCAGGCAGGTAGCTCAGCTTGACCTTTGTGCAAAAGGAGCGGAACTTGAGCCAATACGGGTCGTAGGTCCTTATGGTGGATGGCGCGCGGACATGGGTGATTACCCGAAGTAGCTGTGTCTGTAGGTTTGATAATAAGCCTGAAATACAAAGAGCGCCAGACATGGTGGGGTTATATTTTATATGTCACATGCAACGCGATGATCGGGCTATTGGGGAAACCGAGACCAGCAAAGGCGAGTGAGTGTGTGCCTGGGGATAGGCATTGGCTGCCTTGAGTGAGGGGAATATGTGCCTTTACTTCTGGTGCCCAGGTTTGTGGTGCTGGCTGCAATAGGGGCCACCAAGAGGCTCCTGGCCATTCAGGGATGACCAGCGTCAACTCGGCGTGGGTGCGTTGGGCGTGGCGCAGAGTAGCCGGGATGAGGTGGGGAGGGGGAAACGCGAAGCCTCGTTCATCATGCCAGCTGAACGAGAAGGCGTCAACCGCTGTGGCCTTGGGGTGAGGAATCTTGGAGCAGAAGCGCCTCAGTTGAGCGTTGTTAACGTTCGCGAATAGGTCGACAGAATGCGGCCCCAGGCGGCGGTTGAGGAGTCGGAACCATGGGGATTTGAGTGAGTAATCATCTCGGTCCTGGGGTTTGGAGAGTTCGTCCGCGTGCGCGTTCAGCTCCCAGGGAATCCATTCGATGGCCAGGCGTATCCGATTCTTTAAGCAAAGGTCGATGATCGCCTGGCAAAGTAGTGTGAGTGCAGGGATGCTGGAGCCGCCTTTGCGCAGTATGAATACAACCCCCTGGTTGTCCACACGAACTAACACGTGCCGTTTGGAGATGTGGGTGACAAAGGTTCTGAGTGCCCACATTACACCCTCGAGTTCCCTTCGGGTGCTGGAAGTGTGTAGGAGGTCTTCTGGCATGCGGGAGCTTGCTTCTATTGGGATCCCAGGGAGTGGCGTGAGGATGGCGCCCCAACTGTGGGCGCTTGCGTCCACGTGGATGACGGCGTCGAACTGGTGACTGAGATGAAATGGGGCGCCGTTAAATTTGTCGAATTGCACCAGCCAAAAACGTAGCCCGTTCACCGCTGCCGGGTGCAAGAGGACCTTGGAGTGCCATGACGTTGCGTCGGCAATAAGTCGCAGGAGTTCGTGGCTGAATGCTTGTGCAGTCGCGCCCAGTGCTAGGGCCATAGAGGCGAGCATGCCTGTCACTCTTGCGAGGGAGCGAACGGGAATAGGCCTTCCTGAGTGTCCTTGGGTTATCAAGGCCTCGAGTGTGGTTAAGAGTTGTGCCATTCGCTCGAGTCCGACGGAGAACGTGCCGCGGGTGGAATCGATTTCCAAGCCGAGGAAGCGAAGCTGACGCGAGGGGTGAAGGTGCGATTTTTTGCTGTTAATGACAAAACCAGCTACTTTAAGGTCATGGAGGACTGTCGTACGAGTCGAGCACACTTGCTGGTGGGAATCGCAGAGAAATAAAAGGTCGTCGACAGACCACTCGAACGCCGCTTGCCCGCCATCGCTTGGCATGTTGTTTGATTAGTTGGGTTAAGACGAATGGAGCAGTTGCAAGGTCGAACAGCAGAGACCGAAAGGAGTAGTAGATGCCTTCGAACTGGAAGCCCAAAAACTTCCAGCAAGAGGGGTGAATCTCGACGTGATGGTATCCGGATTTCAGGTCGATGGAGAACATCCAGTCATCTCGGCGGATGAGCTCGGCTACACGATTCAGACCTTCGTACTTGAACTTAGGGGCTTCAAGGTGAGTGTTCACTTTCCGCAGGTCAAGGATAAGGCAGCATTTGTCGCGCTGCTCCACGACGTTCAGCGGGCTGACACATGTTAGTGTGTCCCTCTTCTCGATCGCTGCGGCAACGCCAGTGACTACGAGATCGCGAATTGTGTCGCGAGTAAAGTCGAGGTGCGTGTAGACTCCGGCATGGTTGTTGTCCTCGAAGGGTGTGGGGGCTGCATTCTTCCAGGGAAGCCAATACCCTTTCGCGATGACGGAGAGGATAAAGCTACTGTCGCACCAGGAGCACCACCAGTGCAAGGCATGCCGCAGTCGACTGCGCATGATGGTAACGTCCTTGTCTGTAATTGCGAGCTCGTAGGGATCGCGTTCCTCTTGTGGCCACCCACTCGGGATCTCTGCCATATAAGAGGTTATAAACACGGGTTGGTAGATGGGGGTGGGATACTGTGCTCGTGAACGGGTGCACGATGCGGGGTAGTGTAAACGGGGCATGACATGCTCGGATCGCACCGCCACTGCCGTGTCAGGTGCTTGCAAGGTGCAAGGGGTCATCGTCTCTCTATCTCCCTTCTCTTTCTCTGTTGCTCTCTCTCTCTCTATCTCTTTCTCTCTCGCTCTCGCGCTCTCTCTCTCTCTCTCTCTCTCTCTCTCTATCTCTCTCTCTCTCTCTCAATTTCTCTCTCTCTCTCTCTCTCTTTCTCGCTCTCTTCCTCTCTCTCTCTCTCTCTCTCCTCTCTCTCTCTCTCTCTCTCTCTCTCTCTCTTCTCTCTCTCTCTCTCTCTCTCTCTTTCTCTCCCTCTCCCTCTTTCTCTCTTTCTCTCTCTTCTCTCTCTCTCTCTCTCTCTCTCTCTCTCCCTCTCTCTCTCTCTCTCTCCTCTCTCTCTCTCTCTCTCTCTCTCTCTCTCTCTCTCTCTCTCTCTCACTCTCACTCTCTTTCCTTTGCGTGCGAAGGCATCACATGCTATGTCCGTTCGTGACGTTTATTAAGCGTGTGCGTGCTTATTGGTGGTTGACTTCTTCCTCCTTTTCTTTTCTTCTGCTCTCCTTCTTTGGGCCACTCCTTGTGCAAGCTTTAGCGCCCGGACTCTGTCCTTGTCTCTGATTAATCTCCAAGTGCATGCGTGCATATCATTTGTAGGGCGTCGGGCGTGCCTCCATGCTTAGCTCTCGAGGCATGTTGCATGGCTGGCAAATAAAAAGTGAGGGGTCATGGGCCATGCTCAAGGCTGTTCAGCCATGCTGACTGGGTTTTGTCGCCCCCTTCCTACCCCCTACCCCATCAGGGGTCTTTTTTTTTTTTTTTTTTTTTTGTGTGTGTAAAAAAAAGATGGCCATAAACCATCGAGCCTTTCATTCAATCGTAGGAATTATTACAAGCCTAGGCCTATCAGCCTTTGCTGCCTCCAAGGGCTACCCTAGTCAGCGAAGACCCTTGCCTTTGGCAAAGGGCTGGCCACCGGCCATGCACCCGCCGTGCAACCCACTATGCCTCTTGCATGTGGGAA